TACACCCAACACTGTACATCATGTATTGGCTACGAGTACACCCAACACTGTACATCATGTGTTGACTACGAGTACACCCAACACTGTACATCATGTGTTGACTACGAGTATACCCAACACTGTACATCATGTGTTGACTACGAGTACACCCAACACTGTACATCATGTGTTGACTACGAGTACATCCAACACTGTACATCATGTATTGACTACGAGTACACCCAACACTGTACATCATGTGTTGACAACGAGTAATCTCAACACTGTACATCATGTGTTAACTAGGAGTTCACCCAACACTGTACATCATGTGTAGACTACGAGTACACCCAACACTGTACATCATGTGTTGACTACGAGTACACCCAACACTGTACATCATGTGTTGACTATGAGTACACCCAACACTGTACATCATGTGTTGACTACGAGTACACCCAACACTATACATCATGTGTTGACTACGAGTAAACCCAACACTGTACATCATGTGTAGACTACGAGTACACCCAACACTGTACATCATGTGTTGACTATGAGTAAACCCAACACTGTACATCATGTGTTGACTACGAGTATACCCAACACTGTACATCATGTATTGACTATGAGTACACCCAACACTGTACATCATGTATTGACTATGAGTACACCCAACACTGTACATTAGTGAGGTTTAGTCCCACCTAACGGATACGGGAATGTGGGTGATACACTTATAGTTCATGCAATGGAGCCAAGTTCTCAATGTTGTCTTTAGTCACACGGAACAAACAAAAGGGTGAAGCGAAAGGCCCGAACTTGGGCAAATACGAAGCTTCGAAGCTCATCGAATATTTTGATTTCGTGCTTCGGAACCTTCTTCAGCTGAGTACCCTCACCGTTTGCACAATGCGGTCCATTCTGATTTTCACCCACGTTCTGGCGGAACGTGGGTGAGCCTCCATACACGATATGTCGTGAACCAGAAAACATATGTACGTGGGTCACTGAGTATCACGTGGTACACACACGTAAAGTACACACGGATTACGTGGGACTAAACCTCCCTATTATGTGTACGGCAGTAAGGCATCACAGTTTGGATGGCCCATGTTCTATCAATACACAATCATAGACAAAAGTTAAGAACACTTCGATTCCGACCGTGGTTTGTTTGTTATGCATGTGTGTTGTGCTTTATTCTGCAGACTGATGCGCTATTCTATAAAAGAAAAGTGGACTGTGTCGCCACGATGTAAGTACAACAATATACACCAAACACTGTACATCATGTGTTGACTATGTATCGTAACGTCACAGTATTTTGAACTGTGTATTAGCATGTCACTGGGCTGTACTTCAAGTTTTAACCCTTTAAGAGCCGCCCCATACTTGAATGCAAAACTTCAAAAGATCGTAACTCAGTCCAATCTCGCTCAAATCCAGTGATCGAAATATCCAGGGCGAAGAGAAAACTCCCACCTGTCGGGAGAAACAATCCGCGAAGCGCTGCGAGCAACGGTTCCTGAGATAAATCACTCGTAAGTTGAGCCGCGATCGCGGCAATTTCAAAAGCGCGCAGTGCGACTTTAGTATTGAGAATTTTGAGATTTTCGTCACGCTGGTTTACTCGAATTTGCACGGGTTTCACTGTTGATATTGTCAAGAGTACACAGCGAAAAAATTGGAACTCCACGATCGAGCAAAAGGAAATATCTGGAGCGGGACGCAATTGGACGCATTTGGGGCATTTTTCGTACTGTCGGTGCGATTTAGCGCTGGATAGACGGTGTGCTGGCTATCATGATCGACCTCATTCTCTTCCTCTCGCGGAGACCTTTCCAGGAAGCCCTAGGTTGTGAGGATTGAGTGAGTAGAACGGAAGCTATGATCCAAGGAACACGAAAAAATGCAGAATTTTGAAATTTTCCTGTGGCTCTTAAAGGGTTAACTGCCCCTCTGGCTCTACAACATAGTGGCATGGTGGCATGGTATCATAGTGGCATGGTATCGTAGCATCATGGTGGCATGGTGTCATGGTTTCATGGTGTCATGGTATCATGGTGGCATGGTGTCATGGTTTCATGGTATCATGGTGTCATGGTGTCAGTGTTATGGTGTCATTGTGTCATGGTATCATGGTGGCATGGTGTCATTGTGGCATGGTGTCATAGTGTCATTCTCTCATGGTGTTGTGGTGTTATGGTGTCATGGTGTCATTGTGTCATGGTGTTATGGTATGGAGCATCCGCAAATCGAATTTTCGAGTGAAATTCGAGAATTGTCACGACAGGTACTCAAAGTGTCGAAAATAGGGCTTTGTTCGACTGTATAAGACCCGCGAATCGAAAAGTAGTTTCGAAGGTACCTCGCGCTTTCCAGGCCATGTAATGGAGCAGTGGTCTTGCACAGAGCTCCAGTACATGATGGAGCGGTACTCTCCTGCACAATTCCCTAATTAGCAAACGCAATGTAGGAAACCAAAGGTCAGTGGAAGCTTGATGATTTCCACTGGCACAAAAGCAGACTCTTGCAATATTGCGATTGGACACATAAATGCAGGTTGAATGCACTTTGGAGTGCACTGCAACTGTGCAACGTTCCACACAACGTTTTGGCCCTGCCAAATTTCCCACTCCTATGGAGTGGGATTGAAATATGTCACACAGGGTTTGGTTGTACTTTTAGGTAATTGGTGTACAAAACATTCACTACAATGCCATGCCCACTGCTGTGCATTACTCTACCCACCTGACTCCTAGATTTGGTTTGTTGTCTAAATTAGTTTCCGCAACGGTACAAAGTACAAAATTTAATATCGAAAGGGATGAAGGAAAGGAGACCAGTAAAACATAGCCTTGCTTCAGAAATATGCAGTGCACAGTGTTCCATCTCTGGCTCTCTCTCTCTCTCTCTCTTCTCTCCCTCTCTCTCTTCTCTCCCTCTCTCTCTCTCTCTCTCTCTCTCTCTCTCTCTCTTTCTCTCCCTCTCTTTTTCTCTCTCGCTCTCTTTTTCTCTCTCTCTTTCTCTCTCTCTCTCTCTCTCTCTTTCTCTCTCGTTCTCTCTCTCTCTCTCTCTCTCTCTCTCTCTCTCTCGCTCTCTCCCGCTCTCTCTCTCTCTCTCTTCTCTCTCTCTCCCTCTCTCTCTCTCTCTCTCTCTCTCTCTCTCTCTCTCTCTCTTTCTCTCTCTCTCTCTCCCTCTCTCTCTCTCTCATTCTCTCCCTCTGTCTTTCTCTCTATCTCTCGCTCTCTTTTTCTCTCTATCTCTCGCTCTCTTTTTCTCTCTCTCTTTCTCTCTCTCTCTCCATCTCATTCTCTCTCTCTCTCTCTCTCTCTCTCTCTCTCGCTCTCGCGCTCGCTCTCTCCCGCTCTCTGCCGCTCTCCCTCGCTCTCTCTCTCTCTCCCTCTCTCTCTCTTTCTCTCTCTCTTTCTCTCTCTCTCTCTCTCTCTCTCTCTCTCTCTCTCTCTCTCTCTCTCTTTCTGTCTCTCTCGCTCTCTCTTTTTCTCTCTCTTTCTCTCTCTCTCTCTCTCTCTCTCTCTCTCTCTCTCTCTCTCTCTCTCTCTCTCTCTCTCCCTCTCTCTCTTCTTAGTTGTTGTTTGATGTGACATAAGAATATCATTGTGCATTGGGTACTATGATTAGAGAGGTTGGGCAGAACGAAAATTCGTAAGAATTGGAACGTCCGGGTTTGTTTGTTTGTTTATTGTATTTTACTTCACCAAGTGAACGGGCATTTCTGCCTTCTCACCAGGTCCGGAGACCTGGTTCCGACAAAATGATGAAGAGTGAATGAAAATGTATGTATAAAATGATTAAAATCATACAGGTTGTAATTATGAAAGCGGATAAAAATGATTGAATCACGAGATGTGGAGCATGAATTTATGGAGTATGGTTCAAGTGATAAAAGTTGATACGAAGATGCTTCCGAACGCGACTGAAACACAGCTAGGCCTTGGGGGGGGGGGGTACACAGCAGATCTACAAAAATATTTTTATCACGTGGAGTACTAAAATAATGGTATTTTACAACTCCTGTTTTGCCTCTGTGCACACCTGCGCGGCCACCGTGTTGACCCGATATGAAATATTTCAAGCGTCATGCGCAACCTCACAGTGTACGAATATTCGTAGCACCAGTGTATGGTGGTGTTAGCGTTTCGTAGCACCAGTGTATTGTGGTGTTAGCGTTTTGCAGCACCAGTGTATTGTGGTGTTAGCGTTTCGTGGCACCAGTGCGTGGGATGTTAGCGTTTCGTAGCACCAGTGTACCGTGGTGTCAACGTTTTGTAGCACCAGTGTATGGTGGCATCATAGTGTGTCATTGTTGGCCGTTTATTTTAGTGTGCTTTATAGAGGCATTGGTTGCAGCATCTGTGTTGTGTAGTCAGTGTAGACCTGATTCAGTTTGTTTCGGTGTCAGTGTAGCATTGGGGAAGTATGGTGTAGTGTCATTGTGTTGCCGTTCCCTCTGACTCTCTCTCTCTCTCTTTCTCTCTCTCTCTCTCTCCCTCCCTTTCTCTCTCTCTCTCTCTCTCTCTTTCTCTCTCTCTCTCTCTCTCTCTCTCTTTCTCTTTGTCTCTCTCTCTCTCTCTCTGTCTCTCTCTCTCTCTGTCTCCTTCTCTCTCTCTCTCTCTCTCTCTCTCTCTCTCTCTCTCTCTCTCTCTCTCTCTCTCTCTCTCTCTCTCTCTCTCTCTCTCTCTCTCTCCACAAGCTATGGCTTTACTACCATCTTGTAGTGCCCAAGCTTTCTTGGTCTTTCCAGGTTCTTGAACTCACACAAGGTTTTGTACGTGAACTGCACTTTATGTGTTTACCATTTCTGAAGAAATGGTCAGGCCTACCTCGATGCGCAAACTCTGCCATTCTTTTTATTGGCAGTCGCAAACGCTTTGGCTTACGCCTCCACTACCTTCCTACGGTGTGGAAAAAGTGCCAGTCCATCAAATGGCACATACTTCGATCGAGTGGGGACGCGCGCATGAGGGCGCTGTACACTCTGCGTCAGAGTAAGGATGCGAAGCTGACAAAGCGATATGCGGCGACAATAGAGCTGGAGTGTGCAGAGGCATCAGTAGGTTCAGGGACTCTCCGTCCACCGTCATCTTCAAGTCATCGTGCAGGGTTGGGTGCTCGTGCTCCGAAGCAGCATTCCAAACCCCCGAGGAAGGATCTCCTTCAAACATTTGAGGAGATCAACGCGCAGGAGCAGATTTTGAGGCTGAAGACTCTTCAGGTGCAAGGCAAGTGGTTGGAGTGGACATCGGTGATGTGGCAGGACCTCTCGTGGAAATCCCTTTTGTACGGTGGTACTGGTAAGGATTTGAAATTTCTTCTCACATCAACCCTCGACGTGCTACCTTCTCCGACGAACCTACGCCGTTGGGGAAACACCGTAGTGGATCCGTACTGTAGTTTGTGCCGTGCCTGGGCCTGTACTACGCGCCACGTGCTTGGCGCTTGTCGCGTAGCGCTGGACCAGGGACGTTACACCTGGAGGCACGACAACGTACTCGGGGTCATCGTCAGGAACATGCGTGAGGAGATTCGAATCCGCACTGCTGCAAACACCGTACAAACCGAAAATTCAAATGAGCTTGACTTCATCTCGTTTTGCAAGGCGGGAGAGAAGCCATTTCGCGTTCAGCCCAGACGAAAGTTGGTTACGACTGATCTCCTGTCAGCGGCCTCAGACTGGAAACTTCTTGTCGACTCAGTTAGTGCAAAGATTTCTTTCCCTAGCTGTGTTGCACTTACCACCCTAAGACCAGATATAGTTCTGTACTCTACGAGTCGTAGGATTGTATTCTGGATGGAGTTGACAGTTTGTGCTGGGGGCAGATTCAGTGTCAGTAACTCGCGGAAGGACAGGCGGTATGCGGATCTGGCCGATCAATGCCGAGCAAACGGGTGGCAGGTCGTTTCTTTTTCGGTTGAGGTAGGTGTGCGTGGTTTCATCCCGGACTCTCTTCGGAGGGCTCTGAAAGCGCTTGGGTTTTCTAATCGAAGAATAAAATTTATTTGTAATTTGTGCAGTAAGACGTCTCTGCGAAGCAGCTACATCATCTGGTTGCGACGTCAACAAAAACACTGGTCGGAAGATCCACTTTTCTGAGGTACTGTATGTGGGGCTCCGTTTATTGAGGTGCGTTGAAATTTATTCTCTTTATCTTATTATTTCTTTTCTATAATTTCCCCATATGAGTTCCTATCAGTTGCTGTGAACACCTTGAGTGGAGAGCGCTTGCTCGAGCGTTGAACCGGGTTCTTAATCCACCATACCCAGTTCGCAAGGCTGGGCGGGGTTGTGAGCAGGCTTTCATTTCATCTTTTCTTATTATTTCTTATTATTTCTGCTTTTCATCTCATTACTAAAATTCTGCGCTTTTTCTCCATCTGCGCATAAAATCTAGACTGACAACCTGCTTGTTAAATCATGCACCTGCTTTCAGGCGTAAAAACCCTGTTGTAGAGGTCTCAGTCCTCATTTGTTAGACTTACCTGTCTTTATAAATGTAACTTACTCCAGTTCCAAAAAATTACGCCTCAGCGTTTTCACAGGCTTTTGAGATTAGCTCTCTCCTGAGTCTTTTAAATTGCTTCAAGTTCAAATAGGAAAAATGCCACCCATGGGCTCCGAAAGGGGGAGGAGGATGAAGCCCTAGACACTACGCACGCACCACACGAACACTCTGTGTCCCTGGACGATTCTGCTGTGCCATATGACGATCCATTGGGTTTGACCTCAAGCCAGCGGAAGCACTCCAGTACACGGCATGACACAGGTGAACAACATACATGTCCGAAATGTCACACCACCATCAAACAAGAACATAACCTTGCACGACATATGCGGACTAACAAATGCAAAACATTGGCTGCATCGCAGGCTGGAGCTGTGTCAGCAGTCTCTGCATCACCACCACACGAGACTCCAATGACTTTAGAGGCAAGTACACCAACCATTACACCATCAGACCGGGAAACAACATGTCCACACTGTTTGAGAAAACTCAAATGGAAACAAAACTTGCCACGACATCTACAGACCTGCCCGGTCTACAAATCACTTTCAACCACCTCAGCCAAAGCAGACGGCAGTAGCGGGGATGGTCGGACGACTTCCATGATTGATTCAATGCACTCCAGCCCATCTGTAGGTCAGACAATGACTCCTGGAGATGAATTGCGAACAGTCCCGCACGAATCCACTCCCTGTCATAATGAGTCTTTACTTCATGTCCCGAATCAACGGGACATGGACAAGGTAGAAGTCCGGCAGTCCCTACTGCTACCGTCAGCCAAAAACACCAAGGCATGGCACACAATAAACGCTCAGTTGAAGATCCATCTCACTCAACATTTCCCAACCTCATACCTCAAAAACGCTAACATCGAAGAGACTCTGGACAAACTAGAGAACTTCATTCACTGGTTTTTCGACCAGAAACCACCACCACCTCCACCAAAACACAAGAATGCAAATAAAAACCGTGCAGTGGAAAAACTCCGGGCTCACAGGCGTGATTTAAAGCGCCAATTTCGTAAGATCAAAAACCCGGACGAAGTACCTGCAGCGCTCAGAAATGAGTATTTTTCAATTGGAAAACAAATCAAGCGTCTTTTGAAACAACAAAAGATGTACGACGATCGATCCCGGAACAAGAGGGACCAGGATGCCTTTCTCAAGGACCCATATGCCTTCGGAAAGAAATTGTTTCAACCACCCAACCATGTCAAACCCACTTTCTCTGACACTACCTGCTTTGAGTACTTCCAACACACATATGCAGACCAGGATCGTGCCACTTCGTACGAATCCTGCCCCAGTGCAGGGAAGCCTCGGGATTGCACCCACCCAGTCGATGAGGGGGCCCCTACATGGACTGAATTTCAGAATGTTTTGAAGAAGTGTCGCAACACCTCTGCACCGGGTCCTGACAAGATACCTTACATAGTTTGGAAGCTTTGTCCCTCCCTTCAATCCATTCTTTTCACCATCTTTGGGCGGGTTTGGGAGAGCAAGATCATTCCAAGGCAGTGGCAGGTAGCGTGTATCACACTCCTGGCCAAGGGGGAGGTGTCTTATGATCCTTCGAAATTCCGACCGATTGCTCTAGCAAACACGTCCGGGAAGATCTTTTTCACCTTAGTTGCAAAGCGCCTCTTGAAACATATGCTAGGCAATAAGTTCTTCGATGGTGACAACCAGAAAGGATTTATGCCTGCAAAGGCTGGGTGCTTAGAGCATACATCACTTTGTTATGAGGCGATGCGTGATGCACAGACGGCAAAACGCCAAATTTGCATTGCGTGGATAGATTTGAAGAATGCATTTGGTTCAGTGCGCCACAATCTGATACAGTATGCTCTAACCCACTACAGCCTTCCTTTGCAATTCAGGAAATTAATTTTTTCCTACTACGACAGTCTTTGCGCTTTTGTCGTACAACCACACACTCCCACCTTTAATTACAACATTGGTGTTTTCCAGGGGTGCCCCTTGTCCCCGGTCCTTTTCAATATTTGTTTCCAGCTTCTGCTGGACTCACTTGCAGCCCCTGAATTAAGTTGCCTCTCCTATGATTTTAAATCTGCCCCTTTGCAAGTGTCCCAAACAGCTTTTGCTGATGACTTAGGCCTCTATAGCAAATCTAGTGCAGGTTGTCAAAAACTCATTGCGGTCACGGAGGACTTTCTCTCGTGGACCCAATGTATGCAGGCGGCGCCGCACAAATGCAAAAGCAGTGCAGCAAAGCTTGTAGATGGCCGGTACAAACCTTACGATCCCTGCCTGACGATGTCAGGGAGGAAGATCGCTTTTATTGACACTGCAGAGTTCAAGTTCCTGGGGCGAAGGCTGCATGCTGATTGCTCTGAGCAGACCCAGCGGGAAGACATCCGTCAACTCACTGTATCTCTCATGCAAAAAGTAGATGGCTCTTGGCTTCAAGACCACCACAAGCTATGGCTTTACCACCATCTTGTAGTGCCCAAGCTTTCTTGGTCTTTCCAGGTTCTTGAACTCACACAAGGTTTTGTACGTGAACTGCACTTTATGTGTTTACCATTTCTGAAGAAATGGTCAGGCCTACCTCGATGCGCAAACTCTGCCATTCTTTTTATTGGCAGTCGCAAACGCTTTGGCTTACGCCTCCACTACCTTCCTACGGTGTGGAAAAAGTGCCAGTCCATCAAATGGCACATTCTTCGACCGAGTGGGGACGCGCGCATGAGGGCGCTGTACACTCTGCGTCGGAGTAAGGATGCGAAGCTGACAAAGCGATATGCGGCGACAATAGAGCTGGAGTGTGCAGAGGCATCAGTAGGTTCAGGGACTCTCCGTCCACCGTCATCTTCAAGTCATCGTGCAGGGTTGGGTGCTCGTGCTCCGAAGCAGCATTCCAAACTCCCGAGGAAGGATCTCCTTCAAACATTTGAGGAGATCAACGCGCAGGAGCAGATTTTGAGGCTGAAGACTCTTCAGGTGCAAGGCAAGTGGTTGGAGTGGACATCGGTGATGTGGCAGGACCTCTCGTGGAAATCCCTTTTGTACGGTGGTACTGGTAAGGATTTGAAATTTCTTCTCGCATCAACCCTCGACGTGCTACCTTCTCCGACGAACCTACGCCGTTGGGGAAACACCGTAGTGGATCCGTACTGTAGTTTGTGCCGTGCCTGGGCCTGTACTACGCGCCACGTGCTTGGCGCTTGTCGCGTAGCGCTGGACCAGGGACGTTACACCTGGAGGCACGACAACGTACTCGGGGTCATCGTCAGGAACATGCGTGAGGAGATTCGAATCCGCACTGCTGCAAACACCGTACAAACCGAAAATTCAAATGAGCTTGACTTCATCTCGTTTTGCAAGGCGGGAGAGAAGCCATTTCGCGTTCAGCCCAGACGAAAGTTGGTTACGACTGATCTCCTGTCAGCGGCCTCAGACTGGAAACTTCTTGTCGACTCAGTTAGTGCAAAGATTTCTTTCCCTAGCTGTGTTGCACTTACCACCCTAAGACCAGATATAGTTCTGTACTCTACGAGTCGTAGGATTGTATTCTGGATGGAGTTGACAGTTTGTGCTGAGGACAGATTCAGTGTCAGTAACTCGCGGAAGGACAGGCGGTATGCGGATCTGGCCGATCAATGCCGAGCAAACGGGTGGCAGGTCGTTTCTTTTTCGGTTGAGGTAGGTGTGCGTGGTTTCATCCCGGACTCTCTTCGGAGGGCTCTGAAAGCGCTTGGGTTTTCTAATCGAAGAATAAAATTTATTTGTAATTTGTGCAGTAAGACGTCTCTGCGAAGCAGCTACATCATCTGGTTGCGACGTCAACAAAAACACTGGTCGGAAGATCCACTTTTCTGAGGTGCTGTATGTGGGGCTCCGTTTATTGAGGTGCATTGAAATTTATTCTCTTTATCTTATTATTTCTTTTCTATAATTTCCCCATATGAGTTCCTATCAGTTGCTGTGAACACCTTGAGTGGAGAGCGCTTGCTCGAGCGTTGAACCGGGTTCTTAATCCACCATACCCAGTTCGCAAGGCTGGGCGGGGTTGTGAGCAGGCTTTCATTTCATCTTTTCTTATTATTTCTTATTATTTCTGCTTTTCATCTCATTACTAAAATTCTGCGCTTTTTCTCCATCTGCGCATAAAATCTAGACTGACAACCTGCTTGTTAAATCATGCACCTGCTTTCAGGCGTAAAAACCCTTTTGTAGAGGTCTCAGTCCTCATTTGTTAGACTTACCTGTCTTTATAAATGTAACTTACTCTCTCTCTCTCTTTCTCTCTCTCTCTCTCTCTCTCTACTTCTCTCTCTTTCTCCCGCTCTCTCCCTCTCTCTCTCTCTCTCTCTCTCTCTCTCTCTCTCTCTCTCTCTCTCTCTCAATCCGTCTCTCTTTGCTCTGCTTCTCTCCCTCTCTAGCTCTGTCTGCTTGTCTCTCCCATACATTCAATCTGAGTAATGGTTACATGCAATAGCAGTCGGTACATCCCCCAGTGGTCAGATAGGTCAGTTGTACTTAGTTACTGCGGTGATGGTGTTTGTTCCACCAATCAGCATCGTTATTGGGACTGGTTTTGACTTATGTTTGTACTTTATACGTACTTGTTGACATGAAACGATCTTTTTCGGGGAGATGCCAGTCCCTGAGTCCAAAATGACGTCTGCATATCTCAGTGTCATTGCTTGTGTTTTCTTCAATGTGTTTGTGTTCAGGTTTTCTCATGGTGGTAATACCAGGGCAGTTTCATCACAGAGTAAGTACTGCTGGAGGCGCATGCTGGTATTACTTCACGTGACGTCTGTCAACTGGATTACACATTGCTGAGCATGCATTGGACTGGTGACCTATCAACCAGGTACGTCACTTGATGTTTGTGTGTATTTACAATAATTGTATGGTGTGTACTCACTGCAAAGAGCTAGCCAAGGAGGTCATGCTACCACAAGCGACTCGTGCTGCGCATGTGTGCGCGTGTGCGTATGCGTGTGTACGTGTGTATGTGCGTGCATGCGCATGTGTGTGTGTATGCATGTACGTGTGTATGTGAGTGCATGTGCATATGCGCATGGGTGTATGTGTGCGTGTGTGTGTGTTTGCGCATGGGTGTGTGTGTGTGTGTGTGTGTGTGTCCATATGGTGCAGTGGTATGTGCAGCGATTTCCAATCGATAGGTTGCGGGTTTGATTCCCAACGATTATGGTCACACACGTCTTTCTTCTCTTCCTCAGCCTCCTCCTGACTTTTCTTTCATTCTCCTGGGTGGTTACCAACAGCCAGTGCATGTCGGAGTATGTGGTGTGATGTGTTTGCGTGAAAAAAAATGAAAAAGACCAAAAATTAGGGATTCACTGGCCAGAAAAAGCCACTTCAGAGCTGTGTGGTGTAGACCAGGCTGAAAAGTGGCGGTCAATTCTTCAGCCTTGCAAGCTGTTGAATGGTGCAATCCCAGCACAAGCTGCTATGGCTTCTGCTGTAGCATCGCTATCATCGCCTCCGGCGATGGGCGTCAAATGGTCAAATGGTGTGTGTGTGTGTGTGTGTGTGTGTGTGTGTGTGTGTGTGTGTGTGTGTATGGTGTAGCCTTCCAATCTGTTGGAACCATACCTTCTTGACAAGGTTTTTGGAATGTCTGTTGGCTCTGGGTTCCCAGTACTCCTTTGCTGATTGTGGTTGGAAAAGTAACTCCAATTTCACTTCATGCCCCCAGAGCATCTACTGTCTGCTTCCATTAGAGCAGTGTGCTGTCTATACAGTTTCAATCAGATCTTTGTCTGCTATCGCTGCTATAAGACGCGTCTTTGGGTGCACATCGTGCATTTGCAGTTTCGTGTGCTTCTCTTGCAACGGGTGCATGCATGATACATAATAATTGGTGTGCGTGTGTGTGGTTGTGTGGTTGTGTGTGTGTGTGTGTGGTGTGTGGTGGTGTGTGTGTGTGTTGTTTGTGTATGTGTGTGTATGTGTGTGTGTGTGTGTGTGTGTGTGTGTGTGTCGTGTGTGTGTATATGTGTGTGTGTGTGTGTGTATGTATGGTGTGTGTACGTGTGCGTGTGTATGTGTGTGTGTGTGTGTGCACCCGGGTGCATTGAGCTTTCATTCGAGCCGTCACAACTTGCTCCAATCGAGATAGATAATAATGCAGATAGCAGGCTAGTCACACATTAGTGATATTTGGAGATGACTAGTCTACACACAGAAATGTACATGAACGGTTGTGTTGCGTTATCTTGTGTTGTGTTCATATAAAGGGAAAATTGCATCGCTGAGAGGATATAACGGTCACTATGCAGTGTCCACCGGAATGTTGCAAGCTAAATTTGTTCTCGCTTTGATCTAGTTCTGGACCCTGTGTTGATAATCCAAACAGGGATATCAAACACTACAGCAGCTTTGTCTTATTATGCGTGTTACCTGCCAGTATTAGCATCATATTGTGTTCTGGCTAGCTGCTTGATACTTGCAAGTATAGTAGCTACAGGCAATTTCCTGGCTAGCTGCTTGAAACCTTCATGTTGCTACTGTAGCGCACATGGAAATCCAGTCGATGGGCCGGCGCCCTTAGCGCGTACAGAACTAAAATGCTGCGTGCAGTGCACAGTCATGTTGATCCTATGCAACCAGCGCGCTGCAGTGCGTAAACGTATGTGTGTACCGCGTATCCACGGCTGCATGGCCAGCGCCCTGGGGCCGCTTGACGTGCGACCGGATTTCCATGTCCGCAACAGTACATACAATATCCTGGCTGTAGCCTGACAACAGCAAGTATTATAGCTATGCGGGCACACGTGCAGTGATGGTCTCATGATGCATGGCAATAATTTTTTTTTTTCGCCGAGTGTAGTCTGTAATTTGGATTTTTGGCGCTCCTATTGTTGCTTTTATACATGCTGCAGCAGATAGTTGAATGCAGTTTGGTGTGTGTTGTCCTATGGACAAGAATTGCTTTTTCTTGTTAGTCTTGTATTTTCTCTCCCTCCCTTTTGCAATAGGTTCCTGTGCCAGGAGGGCCACATCATACTTGTCTGCTGTGTTGCTGCTACAATGTTGTGGCAGCGGTATCTTGATGTGCTGGACTGATGTTGTATTATCGTACCCGTTGTTTGCTGTTGCTGGGTGCCGTAGTGTATTAGTTGTGCCTGTTTGAAGTTGCCAGGCAAAATAGTATTGGTGCGTTCCCGTTGAAGTTGCCAGGCCAAAAAGTATTGGTAAGTTCCCGTTAAAATTGCCGGGCCACCATTTTTGTAACAGTGATCCCGTTTGCTGTAGCAGGGGCCGTGTTTGTAGTGGTTCGTTCCCGTTGAAGTTGTCCAGCAGGGCACCGCTTTTGTCAATTGTGCCTGTTTGAAGTTGCCAGGCCAGTCCTACAATGCACACCCGTTTGTTGGTGCCGGGTGACATGTTTGTCAATTGTGCTTGTTGCAAATTGCCATGCTGTGTGAAACAACGAAACTGGTCTTGTCATGGTAATGCATTGATGGACTAATTTACTGAGCCGTTCGTTCGCCTATTATGATACTCTTTCTCCGCACTTCCTTGTATACATGTATGTCGAATTATATGTCATGGTGACTTTCGTGGACATTGCCTAGTTGTGTGTATCTGCAGTGTGTCGTATAAACATTTCTCAAATTCCTGTTTCACTATCATAGGAACTCATTGAAGGTAACCAAATCCTTCCTTCAGATACATGTACTTCAATCCTTCCTTCAGATACATGTACTTCAACAAGGGGTACTAGTATACTGTTACTTACTGAAGTACGCTTTGAAACTCTCGTCAAACTATCTACAGTCTTGCGTATAATTGAAAACTTCTCACCTAGGATTGATTGTTCGGTGCTGATTGCCTTAATGATAAACTCCGAGTGCCCACAAATAACGTTACATTTTGCCCAGTATGTAGATCTACATATGAGCCTTGATCAGCAAAAACAGACCTAAAGGTCAAATTTTTCAAAATGATTTTTTGCTGCAAATTGTTTGCTTGTATACAAACAATTAATTTCCAGCAAAAAACACCTTTTTGAAAAATTTGACATAGGTCTATTTTTGCTGATCACGGCTCATATACGGAAAATCGCCATGTGACAGAACAGTAACTATTCACAGGTCTGTGACTGCACAGCTCCCGGAGTGCAGACAGCAGTACAAGAGAGTCACGGTGTAGCTAGGTGGGTTTTTTCTCCAAAAGCTTGTCTACCATGTTCCGTGACATACTAGCACTAACTGTCGATCACTGTAGCTGTAGCCTGTACTAGCTATTGACCGTGGTAGCAGACCGCATCAGAGTGTTCATGTGCGTGTTGTTGTGCGTGTGAACTGCATCAGGTCGTAATGCTGAACAGCTCGTAAAGTCTACAGTCTTCGTGGGTGTGAAGTGTGATCGCCTGCATGCTGCTGCTTTTGGCGTAGGTGGGTGAGGTGCTGTTCGCACCACAGCACTTCAGACTTCGGTGTATCATGGTGTAGATCTACACTGCATTTCTGTACAAACGTAGCTCTAGTTCATCCTATGTCAGGATGTGTCTCCACAGTTCTCACCCCCAAGTTTAGAATACACGAACACGGACATTGCATGCCGTAATGTTGTGGTGTTAATCCCCTGAAGTCTTGCGCTTTTCGATTCTTTTCAGCGCCGAAATTTGAAGGACAAAACTCGACTGTGCGAATGGTTGAGTTCATTTCTAAGCCATGAGTTACGTTACGTATGTGATTAGTTCGCTCAGAACTTAGGAAGTTGTTTTCGTTCCTCAAGAAACCATCGGCCTATATTCAGGCACGATTGCTTTTACGTTTCTAGATCAAAACCATTGTAAAGGCGTTGGGATCTGTGCTCTGCTGCATGTACTAGCGATCGATAGGA